TCAGTGTTTGGCGATGAAGCACCAGCCTTCAACTCCGAGGTCTTTTCACTTGGAAAGCCTGTCCTTGGTATTTGCTATGGTATGCAGCTTCTTGTTCATTTATTCGGTGGTAAAATACAGGAGGGTGATGTGGGTGAATATGGTCAGAATTCAATATATATTGAGAAAGATACCCCAATATTTAAGGGAATGGGACCCAAGGAGACCGTATTGTTGACCCACCGTGATGCGGCAGTGAAGACCGGTGATGATCTGTGCGTCACTGCGCGAAGTGCCAATGGCATTATTGCGGCGGTACAACACCTGAAACTCCCCCTATGGGGAGTTCAGTTCCACCCTGAGGTTGAGCTGACGGTAAACGGGAAAACCATTTTTAATAATTTCTTGAACCTGTGCGGCTGCAAATTTTCGTATACACTGAAGGACCGAGAGCAGCAGGCTATTGATCTGATTCGTGAGCGTACCGCAAACGGTGAGAAAGTTTTATGCTTGCTCTCCGGCGGTGTTGACAGCACCGTCTGCTCAGTTCTGATGGTAAAAGCATTGGGTCCTGAACGTGTTATTTGCATTCACATTGACCATGGTTTCATGCGACTTAATGAAAGTGAGCAAGTTATGAAGACCCTGAAAAGCTTAAACCTTAAGGTTAAGCTAGTAGATGCAAGGGAGGAGTTTCTCCAGGCGACAACCGAAATGCCTGCAAAGAAGGGCCTATCTTCTTACATGACCCGAAAACTCTGCGAAACGGTGAACCCCGAAGAAAAACGAACCATCATTGGAGACACATTTATGAGGGTGTGTAATCGTGTCATCAAAGAAATGAATCTTGACGTGGAACACTTAATGCTTGCACAGGGAACTCTTCGTCCAGATTTAATCGAATCTGGCTCTGAACATGCCAGCAAAACTGCTGACACGATCAAAACACATCACAATGACACGGCCGTCGTGAGACACCTACGCAACACCGGTCGTATTATTGAGCCTCTTTGTGAATACCACAAGGATGAAGTTATCCAACTTGCCAAAGTTCTCGGGATCCCTGAAAGCTTGGCGGCGCGCCAGCCCTTTCCTGGGCCTGGACTTGCCATCCGGATTTTGTGCACTGATGGTGCACTATCTGAGGATGAAAAAGTCGTCAGTATAACAAGCCAAGTCAAGGATATCTGCGCTGGACGTGCTCAGGGCATGAACGACTGCCTGAGGGGCGCGATGAACACGATGCACCCGTCAATGTGTGTTCTTCCCATCAAGACAGTTGGTGTACAAGGAGACAATCGGTCCTATTCTTATGCGGCAGCGATTTCATTGGGGTACTTCCCTAGTGAAGAAGAATGGATAAAACTGCTATGTATCGCACGATTCGTTCCAATGCGTGTACGTGAGTTGAACCGCGTCGTTTACCTTTTTGGTGAGCGTCAAGAAGAGTCGCCGCGGTCTATTACCCAAACGTTTCTTGTGCCGGAAGTCGTGGATAAGCTGCGCATTGCGGATGATATTGTCAGCCGTATTCTTTTGGATCACTCACTGACTCGTAAGTTAAGCCAAGTTCCCGTAATACTTCTTCCGATTGGATTTGGTAAGTCCAACAGCTACAGTATTGTGATCCGAACTTTTATAACAAATGACTTTATGACCGGTGTGGCGGCCACGCCCGGCACGGACGTGATGCCCCTGTCTGTGCTTGAACAAATAGTCACAGAACTGTTGAAGCTAAGCTTCGTATCACGTGTGATGTTTGACCTTACTTCCAAGCCCCCAGGAACTACAGAATGGGAATAATCGATTTTTTTTTGTTTGGAAATTTCATAATTTAAGAACATCTGACGTATCTAGGTTTGAATTATACATCGTAACTATATATATATACATATATATATCAGGAAATGTATCAATATAACCAGTTAAAGAATTCTTTTGTGATGCATAAATACCCAGGTACAAAAAGGTATGCTTTATTTTACCATCTCTACGCGGCTTTAAGAAAGGGAAACCCCGATCACGAACGTTTTAATAATATAAGATTTAACTTATTATTGAGCAAACGTATATATTACTTTTAAGTTTTCTCTATTTGTGAAA